GTGCCAGGGTTACTGAAGGTACAGGACTTGTGCAGTGAGCTGGAGGTGACAGGTCCCGAGAGGTACTGGGGATGGAGAAGGCCCTGGTAACGCTGGGGATGTCAGTCCAGGGTGCTGGATGGGTGCCGCGGGGTGCCAGTCCTGCCAGCCTCCCTGTCCTGTGCCTGCAGGTGCCCTTCGCGGTGGTGCTGTGCCAACACCTGCCTGGGGGCACGGACTGCGAGCAGCTGGTGGGCTCCTCGGCCGTGTACCGGGTCTGCTTTGGCACCGCCTGCTTCCACCTGGCACAGGCGGCCCTGCTGCTCAACGTGCGCTCCAGCGCCGGCTGCCGCGCGCGGCTCCACAACGGGTACGGGGCACAGAGCAGGGCCGGGCGCTGCCGGGCTCCACCGGGCTCCCCGTGTCCCTGACGCTCGCTGCCTGCAGGTTCTGGCTGCTGAAGATGCTGGTGCTGCTGGGGCTCTGTGCCGCCAGCTTCTTCATCCCCGAGGACGGCTTCATCCAAGGTGCGTCCCGCGCTGCGCCCAAGCCGACAGCCCCTGCCCTGCACTGGGCCCTGTGCTAGCCCCGCTCTGCCCTCTGCCCCCAGCCTGGCACTACACCGGCGTCTGCGGGGGTTTCGCCTTCATCCTCATCCAGCTGGTGCTGATCACGGCCTTCGCGCACACCTGGAACAAGAACTGGTGAGTGCCGGGCGCTGGGCGGGCCCAGGACCGCTGCCGCCTCTCACCCACTGCCCCGCAGGCTGACGGGCACCGCGCAGGACAAGCGTTGGTACCTGGCCGTGCTGCTGGCCACGGTCGCCTTCTACACCCTCGCCTCTGCCGCCTTCTCCTTCCTCTACAAGTACTACACGCACCCGGCTGCCTGCCACCTCAACAAGGCGCTGCTCACCGTCAACGGCAGCCTCTGTGGTATCATGTCCTTCATCTCCATCACGCCCTGTGTGCGGCTCAGTGAGTATGGCATGGCATGGCACAGCATTGGCGTGGTGTGGCATGGCGTGGCAGGCCTGGCTGCACCCTGTGCCTGTGGGGGTGGCCGTGGGCTCCCAGCTCAGGGCCAGCACTTGGGCACCTGGGGACGACACAGCTCCCACCGTGCGCCTTGATGCAGGGGCTCCCGGGGTCCACGTGGAGCCCATCCACAGCTCATGGCACTCTGGTGACGCCCTGACCCCATCCTTGCAGAGCAGCCGCGCTCGGGGCTGCTGCAGTCCTCAATCATCAGCTGCTATGTGATGTACCTCACCTTCTCCGCGCTGTCCAGCCGTCCCCCGGAGAGAGGTGGGTGCTCCTGCCTGCTGCAGCAGCCCCTGCTGGGCGGGCGCCCGTCTCACCACCGCCTCCCCGCAGTGCTCTACAAGGGGCAGAACCTCACCGTCTGCTTCCCGGGCCTGCGGCAGGATGAGCTGCAGACCGAGGACACCACAGTTGCCATCCTGGGGGCTGCCATCATGTACGCCTGTGTGCTCTTTGCATGGTGCGTGTGCCTGCAGGGCGCTCACAACAGGCACAGGTCTCCTGCAGCCGTGTCTGATCCATGGGGCAGCTGGGGGCCTGGCACAGGGTGGTGGGTGCCTGTGTTATGTTTTCTGCCTATCTCCTGGGCACAGTAATGAAGCCTCCTACCTCGCTGAGGTCTTCGGGCCCCTCTGGATGGTCAAAGTCTACAGCTTCGAGTTTAAAGTGAGTAAAGTGGGATGCTGCCCCCAGCTGTGCCCTGTGTCCTCCCTCTGCCCCAAGCCCCCGTCACAGCCCTGGGCCAGGTTCGTCCAGCCAAGCACGGGGGTGCCCATGGTGCATCCCTGCCTGTACCAGCACCTCACCAGCAGCCCCAGTGCCAGGCAGGGCCAGTCCAGTGGCGGGGCTCAGCAGCAGTGGCCACCACACTGCTCTCTCTGCAGAAACCCTCCTGTTGCTTCTGCTGCCCTGAGAAGATGGAGGAGGAGCTGAGAGGTGGGTGCAGGGGGCTGCTGGTGGGATGGCAGAGCCTGCTACAAGGGGCTGCAGGAGCCACCGTGGCCTGGTGCTCTCCCAGGCACCGAGCAGACGCGTGAGCAAGCAGAGGAGCCTGCCGGGGAACAGTGCATCATCCAGGATGAGAGAGACAAGGTGGTCTACAGCTACTCAGCCTTCCACTTCGTCTTCTTCCTTGCCTCGCTCTATGTCATGATGACCCTCACCAACTGGTTCAGGTACATCCCCCTGCTCCTGCCCAGCTCTTCTTGCTCATGCAGCCCTGCCAGCACTGTCGCCCCCAGCATCATCACCCTGCCAGCTCTGACCCACACCCACATAGGCCCAGGCTGCAATGGTTCACTCCTCACCATCCCTCTGCTCCGGGTCGTGCCGTCACCGAGCTGGTGCCCACTGGGAAGCACCCAGCTCTGCACCCATGGACCAGCACCACTTCAAACCACAGCAGCCGTGTGCTGCAGGGAGTCAGGCTGGGGTCTGCGGGGCCAGGGGGTCTCCAGGCAGGCGGGACGTGCCCAGGGCCATGTGGCTGCAGGGTCACAGGGTGACCCCGTGGCTGCAGGGGCACTGGGAGCCCCGTGTCAGTGTCCGTCGGGTGCCCAGTGCCTGCACTGTCCCAGCAGCTACGAGACTGCGGTGCTGGAGACCACCTTCACGCACGGCAGCTGGTCGACCTTCTGGGTGAAGGTGTCCTCGTGCTGGGCCTGCGTCCTGCTCTACCTGTGGCTGCTGCTGAGCCCCTTCTGCCTCCGCAGCCCCCCCCAGCAGCGGCGCAGCAGCCCGGCCCTGCGCATCCTGCGGCGACGCCGTGCTCCACAGCGCATCAGCGTCTCCACGTAGCCCCTGCTGGGGCGGACTGTGCCCAGCCCCGGGTCCCCGCCGTGCCCTGTGCCTGGGCCCCCCCATCCCTCACGACCCAGGGGACAGCGGCATCTGGGAGCCCAAGGGGACGCGGGAGGTGGCTGCCCCCAGGGACACAGGCCCTGTGCTGCACTGGCCCCAGCGAGCTGGTGGTGGGTGCTCAGCCGGGCGCTGCCAGGCTCCTGCTGCGCCAGCTGCCCTGAGCTGGGGCTCTGCCCCACGTCCCTGCTCCCCCAGCAGCAGTGTGCTCACTGTATATAGCTCATTGAGTACATTTTGATATAAAACTGAACTGAGTCTGTGCCATCTGCCCCCCCCAGCCCTGCCCATGCAGCAGCAGCAGCCAAGGCCTTTTTGGGGCAGTTCTACTGGCCAGGGACACAATCCAGGCTGTGGCTGAGCCAGGAGCACTGGGGGTACTGGTTCAGGTACCAGAATGAGCTGGGGAATCAGGGGAGCCCAGCCAGAAAGTGCGGTACTGGCTCCAGGCTCATGTGGCAAATACAGCGGGGTGGCTCCATGGGAACCAGTATCACCCAAGGAGCCCTACACTGCAGTGGAGGCTGGTGCAGGATGGGCACTAACACCTGTAGCCAAGGCTCACACCAGCTCTGAGCCCACTGGCCTGCAGTAGCCAGCATATACAGTCCCACAGGAGATGAGGACATCGCGACTGGGGGGACAATGCTCAGGTCCAGTCTGGTGCTGGTGCAGACACTGTGGGGCCCACAACTAGAGCAGTGGGGGCTGCCACCTGTACCCTGCCCAGGAGGTACTGGAACCCACACAGGGCTCAGGGACAGATGCCAGGCAGGGAGGCCCATGCAGCCCCTGTGCCAGCCGAGGGGACACATCCCCAGGGGCTGCTTTGTCCCTGCAAGGAGCATCAGGCCCTGCACAGAGGGTTGAGAACCCACAGCCCCCTGCTACCTACGTGGACTACACTGTCCGCAAGTGAGGGATGGGGGGTGCAGAGGCAGCCTCGGCTGCAGCCACCCCTGTCTGCCCTCAGCACAGGACTGGGGGGGGCTCCTCACACCACCCACAGCACCTCGGGGATGGAGGCTCGGGCTGCAGTGGCACCAGCATGGGGCTCCCAGGGCAGCCAGGTGAGAGATCTGCACCTGGGCTGGGGACAGGGACACAGCTCTGCTTGCTGGCAGCTCCTGCTCTTGGGCTCCTCACACAGCGTCTCTCACCCAGCAGGGCCCCAGCCACCCAAGGGGTGAGGCAGGGGGATCCTGGAGCTCTGTCAGCAGCTTCAGCAGGAGGAAGCTTCCTGCCCTTGCACCGGAGGTAACCGGTAACTCCCCATCCGGTGCAAAGGGCCAGGCTGGGGGGCAGGGGCACCCCATCACCACTTGTCCCACCGGGGGTGCCGGAAGAAGGAGAAACCCGCACCCCCCTGTCCCATGGTGCTGGCAAGGGACTGGCGCACCGGCAGTCCAGCTCCTGCTGCACCTCCGTGAGAACCAGGCCAGAGGAGACATCTTGAGCACCCTCAGTATCTGCCCCCAGCACCCTCAAGGCCCAGCCAATGCAGAGGCACAGGAGCAACTTCTGGGTGTCCCTCCCGGCAGAGGTGGGCTTCCAGATAAAGCAGCTGCCGGTGGATGGGGAACAAACTGTATTTACTGCTGCTCCTGGCCCTGCAGGGAAGCGAAGAGGATGGTGGAGCAGAGCGAGATCCACAGCACTGCACTGGACCTCAGCATCCCCCCCCACTGCAGCTGCACAGGAGACGGGCTAGCTGCCGGCTTTGTACCCCCTCATGGACAATCCCTGCTCCAGCTGTGCCTGCAGAGGTCTGTGGAGCAGGCAGCTCCCCCTGTGCCAGGCTCAGCTGTCACCTCCCTGGGCCCAGCCCCGCATCACCCTGCTCCTCTTTCCCCACCACAACACATCCTCTGCAGCACAATCCTACCCTGCTTCCATTCCCCCACCTCCCCCTGCCCCCCCGGGGATGCCCGGAGCTTCCCAGGCTGGGCCCGGCCCCATCTTTGTTCCTCACCACGAAGATGCAGCTGCACAGCGGCCGCGGCTGGTCCATCCCCGCTCCTCACCAGCGCGAACGCTCCCTCCGCGTGGAGGGGGGCAGCAGCGGTGCCCTCTCCCGCTCCCAGCCCCCCCGCCCGGGCACACGGAGGGAGGAAACGGGGCCTGCAGGGCTCCACGAGCTACTTTAATAGGAGGCAGGCCCAAGGTGGGCGCAGGGCGCTGCCGGGGCGGCGCGGCCCCGGGGCTGCGCAGGGCATCCTGCCGGCGGGCGGCCCGGCCGCGGGCTACTTGGCGCCCTCTTTCTTCTCGTCGGCCTTCTTCTGCTTCTGCTGCATGATCTCCGAGTCCCTGCGGGAGAGCACGCTGAGGGGCTGGCAGCGGTACCGGCACCACCCCCGGGAAGGGGCCAGGGCACCGGGGAGGGAGGGTGCGGCGCGGCCGGCCCAGCGCTCACCTCTGCTTGCGGGCGGCGGCCGAGAGCCCGTCGTCCCGCCGCTTGCCCTTGCCCGAGTCGCTCTGCTTCTTCAGGTTCTTCTGCCGCGCCAGTTCGCGCTGGTTCCCGCCTGCGACGGCGCCGCCGCCTCAGCGCGGCCCGGCCAGGCCCCACGGCCCAGCCCGCGCCCCGGCCCCGCGCCCGGGCCACGGTACCGCCCTCCCCCTTGTCCCCCAGGGCGGCCCCGGCCCGCAGGGTAGGTCCCGGCTGCGCGGCCCCGGCCCGCCCCGGCCCGTCTCGCACTCACGGGTCATGGCTCCGCTGCCTCCCGCCCTCCTCTCCGCCGCCACGTCCCGCACCAACCCCCTTGCGCCCCACCCGGCTCCCCTCTTTAAAGGCGCGGCACTGCCAATAACCGCGCTGAGCCCGCCCTCGCCTCCGTCCTATTGGTGAGCGACTCCAGCCAGGCCCCGCCTGATTGGCTGCGGGCTACGGCTGCCAGTCTGCCGTGGGGGGCGAAAAAGCCGGAAGCTGGAGCGCAGGCGCAGGAGCCGCGCCCACGCGCCAGTGGGCGGTGCATAAGGGGACACGCCCCGTAGTGGCGCAAGGGAGGAGGCGTGGCCTCGGGAGCCGAGCGGGGCGAGGGAGGGGGCGTGGCCTCGGGAGCCGAGCCGGGAGGGGTGGGGCTCCGCCCGCCGCGGACCCGGTTCTCCGCCGCCGTCTCTCTTCCACTCCCGGCGGGGCGGCTCCTCTGGGCGGGCTCTGCTCAGGCGGCTCCTTCCGCCGTGGGAGGTGCCGGGTCTCTGCGGGGAGAGACAGCCGTGAGCGCCACCGCGCCAAGTGGGCACCGGCCCCGACCCCACCGCGGGCAGCCCGGTCCGACGGCGCGACCACGCACCCGGAGCTCGGCGGCGGCATCGGGCCACGGGGCGGCTCCTGCGGGGCGGCGGGGGCCGGGGCGCTCCTGCGCTTCACCAGCCGCGACAGCTCGGCGTGGACAACCTGCGGGTGGCGGGGCGGCTGCGGCGGGCGGGGCTGCGGGGGGACCCCCGGTGAGGCCCCGAGCCGCCCTCCCCGCCCCGACAGACCTCGCTGGCGGGGTCCAGCTCCAGGGCTCTCCTCAGAACAAGCGCGGCCTCGGCGTCCCGGCCTTGCTGCGCCAGCAGCTGCGAGGAGAGGAGCGGACGGTAGCGGGCGGCCAGGCAGGGGCTCGACGCGGGGCGGCGCGGGGCCCACCTGCCCTCGCCGGAGCAGCGCCCGGCCGTTGTCCGGGCTGATGCTCAGCGCCGCCTCGCAGGCCGCCAGCGCCTCCTCCACCCGCTGCAGTTTCATCTCCGCGGCCGCGCAGTTGTTGAAGCATTTGACGCGCTGCTCCCGCAGCTCCTCTTCCTCCTGCGGCCCGGGCGGGGCTGCGGAGAGAGAGGGGGCTCAGCGGCCCGGGGCCGCGCCGCCCGGTTTACCCCCCCTGTCCCGCCCGCTCTCACCGGCGGCGGGGCCGTCCAGGGCGCGCAGCGCCAGTCGGTAGGAGCGCAGCGCGGCCGAGAAGTCGCCCCGCGCGAAGTGGAAGTTGCCCCGTTCCCTCCGCTGTGCTCCCAGGCGCAGGCGGGCAGCGGGTGGCAGCGGCTGCGGGTCGAGGCTTTCCCGCACCTCAAGCAGTGTCACCTCGAACAGCAGCGGAGCCTCGGGCGGCACGTCGGGCTCCCTGCGGGGACAGCGCCGGCTGCCCGTGCCCAGCCCCTACTCGCCCCGATCCTACCGCCCTTCTCGTACCGCTGCCCGCCCCGGCTCTGCCTGCCGGGTCCCCCTACCCCTGCCCGTCCTACCTGCCGGGGCGGCCGTAGCCGTAGGGGAAGGCGGCGAGGAAGAAGGCAACTTCCCCGGGCTGCATGGTGGGGACGCCCAGCTCTAGGGCCTGCGGACGCAGGCACAGCGGAGATGGCCGGGCGTGCCACGGGGGCAGCGCTCGGCCCGCACCGCGCCCTGGCCGGGGCTGACCTGCACGACGTCGCCGTAGCCCGGTACGAAGGTGAGCCGCGGGTCCCGCTCCACCAGCCCTCCGTCCTCCAGCGCGCCCAGCACTTTCACCGACACCTCCTGCCCTGGCCGCGGCCGCAGCCCCTCCTGCCCATCCCTCACCACGCGTTTCCGCAGCAGCCGGTCCTCTGCGGGCGGCGGCGGTGGCCCTGAGACCCGCCCCGGTACTCCTGGGGCCGGCACCCCCGGCCCGGCTGTCCCCGGCCGCTTACCCGTCAAGTCGCTCCAGCCGTCGGCTACGAAGAGCGGCCCGAAGCCTCCGGGGCCCGGGGCCGCCAGAGCCTCCAGCCGCCGGTAGAAAACCTGCTCCTCCTCGCGCACAGACGGCAGCGCGATGGCGGTGGGGGGCAGCCGGAACCGCACCCGCCTGCCCCGGCCATGGCCCCGCTGCCGCCCGCCGGTCCCCACCTCCCTCTCCGGGGAGCCGCCGGGAGACGGTCCCGGCATCCCTGCCCTCCGATCCGCCCGCCTCTACCAGCCGGCCTCGGGCCGTGCCGCCCCAGGGCTCAGCTGCCGGTGCCCGTGGCTCTCAGCCCCCACCGGGCGCGTCGCCGCCGGCCCCGTCACACGGGCAATGCACGGGGCCGCCCAGGCCGGGGCCGCCGCAGAGCGCATCCCTCCTCGGAATTAACGCTGGGAAGCGGCTCAGGGGATTAGCCCGGGCCGGTGGCAGAAATAGCTGGGTCAGGCCGAGCCCCTCCCGCCGCGGTCCCGCACACGGGGCCATGCCGCGACTGCGGGCCCGGGCCCCGGCTCAGCCTTCCGCACGTGCGGCTCGTGGTGGCAGCTGCGGGTGGGACCTGGCAGGGGGACTGCAGAACCGCCTGCAGGCGGGACTCAGACTCATCAGTGCCCGGTGCCGCTATAGGGGCCACCAGGGCCCGGGATCGCCTTCCAGGGCAGCCACGGGGTTAGTGGGGAGACAGGCGAGGACCGGGGAGCCCAAGGGTGACATGGTGCGGGGGAGACAGGAACCCGGGGCAGCTACAGGGAAACCAGGGAGGCCGGGGATGAGCACACTGGGAGCCAGGGGAGCCAGGAGGGCTGGGCCAGCCTGGCAGAAGGCAGTGTCTTCCCCCAGGTCAGAGCCAGCTGGACATGGTGGGCAGCACCCAGGAGATCACAGCCTCTGCTGGGCAAGGACACACTGTCCCAGTGAAGGAGCCCCGCAGCAGAGCGGTTGTTGCGCCTGCCCCAGCTCTACCTGTTAGTGGGGTGCTGTGGGTGGCACTGGCCTGAATGACAGTGGCTGCTGAGCCTCTGCTCCCTGACAGACTGGGGTTTGATGGCTGCAGGGCACTGCTCTACCCCTGGGACCACAGCACTGCTTCCTCCAGGACCAGCTGGCCCTGAGATGCTGCAGCCACTGCTCACCATGGCCAGGGCAGCAGCTCTGTACATCGGGGGTCTCGGGGTGTACCAGTGAGCAGGAGGCAGCAGCAGCACTGGGGCAGTTGGATGTCCGTGTCCTGTCAGCCAGGACTAATCCCATGCTGTCCTGTTGTATCTGCAGGCAGAGATGGCTGGGCTCCCGAGGAGGCTGGTGTGAGTATCCTGACACGGAAGGGCTCTGGCTGCCATGTCCCCCAAAGCAGGAGCCACAGGCCTGGGGCAGCCAATCCCAGGGCTTCCCTTGAGAGCTGGTCCACCCTTGGGCCCTGCAGACCTATGGCAAGCAGAGTTTAACAGCAGCACATGGTTTGGGGACACAGCACTCACAAGCCACAGCAGAGTATGATGGTAGATGTGGTTTAAGATACAGATGTAGCTGGGGAAGAAATCCTTGTACTGGAGAGCTGTTGTAGACAGAACCATGTGTTAAGCGCTGTAGGATCTACTGCACCAGCACTAACTGGTACACAGCCTTCGGAGCTGTGGGGGAGGAACACCCAGAGGAAGCAAGCATTGGCTCTTGCCATGGTAACTGCTGCAGCACGGCAGGGCTCCGTGGGGCTGCTGGTCCTCACTTCAACTCACACAGAGCACGAGATGGAGCAAGAACAGCCCCTCACCGCTCACTCACCACCCAGCCAGCACACGATGGGCAGGAAGAACCAAGCACTGTGCACACCACATCGTGGTCAGTCACAGCCCCCACCAGACTGCAGCACAGCATCTGAGTCCTGTCCCTCCTGGAGATCCTAGGTACCAGTCTGTGCTACCAAAAGCAGCGGTGACCCTGTAATGAACTACTCCCAACTGTCCTAAGCACACAGTCAGACTTCTAAAGGCTCAGTGAAGGAAAGAAGACACAGAGGAGGAGGCTGCTGCCCCTGAGGAGCAGAATCCTGGCTTAGGTGCAGCAGGTTTCCGTGGGACAGGGACTCTTGGGCTTAGGGGGGTCATTTTATTGTTTCACTTCTCCAAATGTACAAAAACAAAAATTAGAAAATACCCCTCCCCCCCAACCCCCAACGCAGCCCAGGCTGGGAGCCCTGCAGCAGCGCAGCCAAGGGACGGCAGGAAATTAAACACAACTAGATACAGCAGCTGGGGGCCCATGGCCCACATGGTCACCGACTCTCCACAACCCAGAACTGGCCCCAGTCTGCCCAGTGCTTCCCCAATTCACACAGAGCTCATCCCAACAAGATGGCAAGTGGGTACTTTACAAATCCTCCTTCACCTTCTTCTTGGATTTCTTCGTTTTCTCTTCCTCCTGCAGCACAGGAGTGTTGGTTGCCTCCCGCTTCAAGTAGCTAATGAAGTCACTCACTTCTCTGCCACCCTGCAGAAAGCACAAGACAATGAGGCAGAGGCTGGACTTCCTGGGGGCTTCTCCTTCACTACAGGAGAGTGCAGGTGCAGGGAGGAGAGGGAAGGGATGCCAGCAGAGCTCTCCTGTGGGTCTGCACCAAGCATCACAAGGAGGTGCTGCTGGCTGCAGAGTGGCACCCAGAGCTCCAGAAAGGCCCAGCATCACCTCGGCACCTGGATGCTGCTTCACTTCTTCACAAAATACTCACCTCATACTTCTTTGGATTCTGCTTCTTGCCAGCTGGAGCAAAATAGATGGTGGGGAACCTGCGGAGAGAGAAGAGACACTTGAGCACCTTGACATGCTCTGTTTCCTTTCAGCCCCCACAGCAGGGACTCACCCCCTGCACTCCCCTGGTTTAACAGCTCAGCACCATACCCAGCAGTGTGGCCAAGAGCCTGGCCATGGCTGCAGAACAGGCTGAGCTCAGCCCTGTTCATGTCTGCTACCTAAACTGTTTCCAGGAAACGCAGCCCAGCATCATTTTAGACTGCCAAGTACAGAATGACAGCAGACTGAAAAGCAGCAAGACAGCCCTCCAAGCACAGCCAGGACACCAGAACAACCCCAGAGAAGCAGAGGGATGGATGTCCTTCGTTTTCACTCTGTGCTTCTTCACACTAAGTGAACACCTTGCAATTGCATGCCCATTGCCCATCCCATCCTCCCGAGACTCCTTCAGCTCCTCTGTTGAGGCTGCAGATCAGAGACAGAAGTGTGAAGACATTCACTGACACATAGTGTAGCAACAGTAAGACCTACCCTCTGACTTCATAGGGAGAAGGCACATCATTGGCTGTAGCATCCATTTTGGCAATGACAATATTGGGGTCTTTGCTGAGCTGTTGGTAGAAAAAGCTTATCAGTAACCAATCCATAGCAGTTAACACCAGAACCACCAACCAGCATCACCTGAGGTAGCTGTGTCAGAAGAGGGTGCACACAGCATGCTAACGGGTGAGCAGATTTCTGTTGAGCAGTTTATTACTTCTGCCTCAACAGGAGTGGAGGGAACGAAGTCCCTCCTCAGCCAGCTGGATGCAGCACACACATCCCAGTGCACCCTGCTGGATGCAGCACACACATCCCAGTGCTCCCTGCTGGATGCAGCACACACATCCCAGTGCACCCTGCTGGATGCAGCACACACATCCCAGTGCTCCCTGCTGGATGCAGCACACACATCCCAGTGCTCCCTGCTGGATGCAGCACACACATCCCAGTGCTCCCTGCTGGATGCAGCACACACATCCCAGTGCACCCTGCTGGATGCAGCACACACATCCCAGTGCTCCCTGCTGGATGCAGCACACACATCCCAGTGCTCCCTGCTGGATGCAGCACACACATCCCAGTGCACCCTGCTGAACTGGGCTGCTACTTCTGGAGAACCCCAGAGCAACTGCTTCCTTCACACTGCAGGGCAGCTGTGAGGATGTGCAGAGCTCAGGACGGAGGGTGCCTGGCAGACAGATACCAAAAAGCGGGTCAGATCTGGGAGAACAATTTACTCACTCCACTCATGCAAGTGTGCAGGGCAGTGTTATCCTTCACCAGATGGGAGACTGAATCATGAAGAGGGAAAAGACCCAAAAAGGATCTTTGGCAGTCAAGGACATTTGCTGAATCAATGAATACTTCTGTGCCATAGCAAAGGGCACTGGCTAAACCTACTAGTGTGGTTGCTACCATGCTCCAGATCCTGCCTGTGTACTTCTGCACCCACAGGAGATGACCAAACTCACAGCTCTCAGGAAAGCACAACTATGCCCCATTACATAAATGGTAGACAGACAGAACCTGCAGGATTGTTTAGTGCTGCAAAATTCTCTTTTGTGTTTGCAACAGAGCCCCAGGCTTACCTTCTCCCCCAGTTCTTTGTATTTGGGCTCCAGGTTCTTGCAATGGCCACACCAGGGTGCATAAAATTCTATCAGGACATCTTTGTCTTCTGCATTAACAATTTCATCAAAGTTCTCAGCAACCACCACCTGGTAACATTTGATCACACAAGTTAGGGTTTCTTCAAAGTCAAAAGTGAGGCTGTAACAGGACATGCTCCATACAATCTGCCAAGAAAGCCTGGCCCTCCCACAGGACAAGTCATGCTGCACCTACACAGGAGGCAGCAATGACCAAACACCTCTTCACCAAACTGCAACATCCTCAACTTGCAGGTAAAACCCTGTCACAAGGCATCAGCACCACTTGCAAGTGAGGTTTGCATCGGGTATTCTCCAAGAGGACAAAGTAATTTCTTTTTAATCCCAGCAAATTCCAGGCTGAGGAATGAGGCTGGGAAGACTGGCTGGGTCCATCTCCCCCCCCACAAAAACAAGCAGTGACTTCCAACCCCCAATTAAGGCCCTCATCAGAAACCCAGGCCATAGAATGCTTCCATTCAGGGCAGAATTTACATGATGAATGGAAGGTAGGAGTCACACCGCTCCCCAGTAACGAGATGAACATGTAACTCCTTAGAAATAGTGCAGTCAACAACCAACTGGAGGCTGTGCCAGGAGGGAGCACAAGCCAAGACAGCAAGCCCTGGCCTAATCCCTGTAAATCTGGATGATCCTGCACTTGTAGAGCACATCACTAGTGTGATCAGACAGCAGTTACTCCACTGAGAGAACAAAATGGAATCAAAACTGCAAGCTGCATTTCTCCCTTGGCTCAGAAAACTGCAATACAACAAGGGAGCGAAGTCTTCCTCCATCTAGC